GAACTGTTTTCGAGCATATTCAGAAGGCTATAAAAAACATGTTTATAGACTTACGTACCACTTCTACAGCATATCTCGATGTAAAATTGGCCCATAGTAGCAAATTTCAACATTTTCTGATCTATTTTAGGCGAGATATGGCAAAAGACCGACTGCAATTATCATATAGCTACTGCTGAACGAAAATTTCAACAACTATTAAGAAGATTGAAAAACGGTTAATGGTCAATTGTAGAGCACGTTTAGCACTACAAATCTGCTGATCTGAATTTGTCTGGGAAAATATAGCCATTTTCTTTTTTAGTCATCAAAAGTTTACCATTTTTCATGCACTGATATATTATTCACCATTATTGACCATTATTCACGCATTTAGCTTTTTACATACTGAGACTGATTCTCTAGAAAAAGTATACCCTTTTCTATGTCGCATAAATCTTTAGGAACACACTTTGTGTTTTACACTGTAATTCCACTTTATTTACTAATCATTTGTAAAACAAAAATATGATGCAAGCAGATAAATAAGGCTCCTCAATTGGAAGAAAATGAAATACTACAATCATCTATCCCTATTAAAAGATGAGTAGAAAATGAATTAATTCTCTTTAGTTGGACATGAAAGACAACTTGACATGTTTCTAATTTCACTCATCATCATCAGAACGTGATCACATGTGATCACACATCATGTGGTGATCACGTTCGTTGTAAAAGAATGAGAGGAAAAGTTTTTTGTATATTACAATCCTCGTTAAATAAATTAAACTATATAAAAGAATGAGAGTTCCAGCAAAAAAGTATGAAGACTATTGTTCTGGATATGTCTTGAAGAGAACAAAACGGACATGAAACACTACAATCTGCGTCACTACAATCGTCGTTTGCATATGATGATAAAAGTACTTAAACATCGCTAATATCGTCTTCTAGGTACAACTTCGTCTCTTGTAGAAACTATAAGTGACTCGGCAATTATGGTTAAAAGTTCTTTATATTATTAGACAATGGTTCATCAAGGTCGATTCGTGATAAAGCACGTAACCTAGTGAATTTTTTTGATATTAAACATTGCGTTTAAATGTGTTAACCATTTTTTAACGCATTTAATAGTACGAAATATTAATAAATTCACACACATTAATCAACTTTAAAATAATTTCTAACGCATTTACATGATTTAAATATCGTATACCAAAAGTAAACGAAAAAGTTCGCATCTGTTAAAAATCATTAATGCGTTAGAACGAATTAAAATGGATAGCGAAAAAACGCATTTTAGTCTCATACTAAATTTTTTAAGGCATTTCTAGCGCTACAATTAAATTAACCAAAAAGGTTTCTAACGCGTTTGGATAATTTCTAACTTTCACGCCTTAAAAAGTCAATGTTTTTCCACGCGTTCAAATTTTGTAATACATTCAAACGCATTAAGTTTATTTAATTCATGAAAATACATTGAATTTTAACGAATTTGAATGCATTTGTGTATCGCCATAGCAAGGGAAGGTGGCAATTTTTCGTAAAGCTCCTAAGTCGCTCAAGGATCAATACAGATCATTTCTTTGAACTAAATTTCAAGACTTCAATGACTCATGTGCGAAAGGCTTTTCAGCGGACAATCTCCTGACTCGTCAACGATCCAAAGTGCTGTCACCCTTTTCAACATCTTATCATCTATGAACTAATCGAGATATATTATCAGATAAATCACTCTCAGTATGTCTGATTGAGTAGAAAGGGTCATCCTAGGCCAAACGTTGCGAAAGAAATCGAATGGTGATGTTCGAAAGGGTTTAAAAATCTTTCCTGTAGAATGCAGGTGCTATTTTTGTTTTTGAAAGCCTTAATGCGTTCACATGCATTAACCTCTGATACGTGTGATGGCATTAGACCGCTCTTAAAGTCTATGAACGTATTGAACGGACGAAGAACCTTTTAATGCATTCGAGTGCGTTAAATAATTTTGTGCATTTGAATGCATTAACTTCAAATGCATGTGAAGGCATCAGATTAATCTGAATATATGTAATTGATTATAAAACACGGCTGTATAAAAGCACGTTGAAAAGATTGTCATCGTAGATAACAACAATATTTGTCCATCACTGCGAATTCGAACAGTAGTATTATATGTGTTTTCTGCTCGATCCATGGGGATGTTGATAATAACGATGTAAATCTCATACGTCTTCTAACCATTACTTTCTGAATTATCGTTAGAAAATTCCATTGTAAAGTATCACACATGTACTGTATAAAAAGGATAGAGAGTTACGACGCATAATCATTTTTAACCAAAATGAAAAATGTCGTTTAACTTAGAGTTCTACTTTACAATGCCATATAACATTGCAGTCAACGGGTTGAGAATGAACTTTGTTGCGTGGCTGCTATACAAATGCACCATGAGCATCCGCGGATAGAAGAGGATGGACATTTTTATCAAACGACTAAAAAGGCATAAGTTTATAGGATTTTTAAGGAGTTGCGATTTTGTCCTCATCGAAGGCGTATGGAGGATTTTAGAAAAGTTTTCTGAAAACCGTCAAAAGCCTGACTTTTCCAAAAAGATTTAAGTTCTGATAGAAAAACAAATCCGAAAATATTTTCAATAACATCCGGAAATAGATCAAACATTTCTGATCAAAATAAGATATCTCCTAACTCTGAATGATATTCTGATCCAGAGTTCTGACAATTTTTCTGGAAGCCTAAAACATGCATCAGATACTAGCGCCACCATATCTCGAAAGCGACTTCTACCTTAACACCATTTCGTAGCTGCAGGGTTTCTCCGTAACGAAACATTGCACAGAGACCCAACAAGGTCTTAAACTGAAGCTGACACATGGGGCTAGCGGTCAACAGAGTCCGATTTTTGATACTCAGTCTAGATTTATGCTTAAAAAAATATCTTTCTGAAAGTTAATGAGACTTTTTCAAATTTTTGACGCTAACCATTAATTTAAAAAGTAAAAAATCCAGCTCCATTAACCTTTAGTCACATGTGTTTTCGTCAACTTAAGACCAGTCCGAGCTCTCCATAACGTTTTGTTACTAAGACATCCTGCAGCTATGAATAGACCCATTCAGGCGATGAAAGTACAGAAAAAAAGAGAGACAGCCTTTTGCGGAAAAAAGTCTTTTCATTCATATTTAATTGATTATCTTCAGAAAACAAAATGACATATTCTTTAACTACGCCAGTAAATTTTAATTATCAACGAATTTTAATCGCAAGTTTTATTGCACATGTGAAATTCTGCTATTTCAATCTATAAAAATTGACGGCATTCTGGCAAAATACTTGTTTTATCTCCTCCGATGTGAGACCAGCTTCTGTTGCCAATTTGAAATAAGCTTCGAATAGTTCATCAAACGTGGCGTTTAGTTTATCCACTGGAAAATTTGAAGCAAACATACATCGTTTGGAGCCAAATATATTCAAGCAGTAATCAACGTATGGTTTCAGTGTGCTGAGTGACCAGTTATGTTGAAACATGACTAAACCAGATATTTTACAAGAGACATTTGACTGTTGAGCTAGTATAGCCATATTCTGTTTCCAATCATCAAAGAGTGTATCACCTCCATATGGTAAACCACAATGATCAAGAATAATCGGCGTGTGCGGATATTGACGGGCTAATTCAGCTGCATCCACCATTTGTGATTGATAAACATGTAAATCATATGATAAATTATACTTATCAAGAAGGGAAAATCCTTCTAACCATTTCTGATCCTTTAAATAATCACCACGATCGATCATGCATAAAGATGGTTTACCTTCTATATAATTCAACAGTTGTCGAATACCTTTTACGTTTCGATAAGCAGTCGTATACTTTTGAAACAAATGTTCGACAGTTGGAGATGACAAATTAGCATAAGCAACAATTCCTTGTGGATATTGAGACTGATCAGCAACGTGTTGCAAATATTCTACTTCACCACATCCATCATTCACTTGGTGATCGTATTCAGCTTGTACATGAACAGATTTCAACAAGTTAAAATTACGTGTATCGTACAAGTAATCATCGATTAAATATGATTTTTTCAATTTATTTATATCACCAGCCAGATGGGACGGAGTACCACCTTGATCAACGGGACGTAACCATGGATAATTATTTGATGATATGTCCCATAAATGATGATGACAATCAACAATATCCAGTTTGTTTGAAGCATCAATATCAGGAAATGTGGATATTATCGTAGACATTTTCGGTCACTCTACAAAAACTGAAATTCTATTCAACAGATGATGAACGACTAAAGAAGTTGACACATTAGACGACTCTCCTAAAAAGAAAATCTTCCCCAAGCAGAAGACCCCTTCTGACTCACCAAGCAAGAACCAAGAACAGAAAAAGCCGTTTATTAACATTTTTTTGGACAAGAAAACCGTGTTATATTGCTAATAAAACGATATTTCGCTTATACATAAACTGTTTAGGCTACAGCAAAATTGTTTAAATTCAGGATACATTAGAAGATCTGGGTCTTTTTTTCTTTTCACAACCGCTTCGTGCATCTTTTCGAATCCAGAGTTTAACGGCTATCAAACCAACTGAAATCGCTTGAATTATGTCTAATATCCCGCTGAATCGAAAACATATCCTTTAAAGGATATTTTTCCGATTCAGTTTTTCATGTAGAATAAAAATAAAAACTTTTAATGTTCCTAAACACAATGAATTCAAGATTTACGTTCGTTTTTTAAAATTTTGAGTTTTTCGAAATTGTCGACTTTAGAAATTTAATTCGAAACTTTAACACACACATATTTTTTTTCAGTTCAACGAGCTCCATCCAAAATGTATAAATATTACATAAATGAATTTCACTTAAACTTTGAATTTTCGGCGCATTACTACGCAAAATATTAAGTCAGAAATACATACGACTGTTACCTCAATTGATGTGTGTATGCTACCGAATGCATTTACTTTCCATACTAGACAAGATAAGAACATAGTCACTAAGCAAAGAAAAGAACAAAAAGTAAGGTCATACTTTTTCAGTTCTACTTTGAGTTAACGCATGGAGAGTACAATAATCACAGAAGAACCCTTTTTACTTGTTTTACGCATTCTTCACTATAACAATCGTAACGATCCTATGAAATAATTTAAAGCGGCTAATGATCGTTAGCACGTGAGAAAGTAAGGATACGGATAAACTAAGATAAAAGAGAAACTTTCATATCTTAATCCACTTCTCTAACGTGTTAAAATCTAGAAGTTAACAAGTATACACACTGTTTTCATCGTTTCTGTTTCGAAACCACGTTCGCTCGCATTAAGTTTGGAAACTTAACACGTTAGATATGAAATATTTTCACACTTAACGCGTTCTAACAATCGTTAACCGCTTCAAATTATTTCATGCGATTATAGAACCTGCTGAATTAGCTGTCCTCTTTTTGATTGAATGGAAAAGTCAGATGCAATGCAAGATATTACTTTCCATGTATGAATTATGAGTAGAAGGTCTTAGCCTAATAGATTATCGTGAGCGAGGCAACAGAGATCAGCTCATATAGATTGACGAGCTACGAACTCGAACTTCAGATCTATTTCTGTTAGCATCTCCAAAGACGGTTTTTCCACAAAAAAAGAGAACAGTAACATGAAAGAAAACCAGAAAACAGAATGACAGTTTGAAAACATCGAAACTTTTTTAACTAGACATACTTCCATTTTGTACACAACATCCAAGAAAGCAATATTACACATCTGAAAGACGTATAAAACAAAGATAGCCTTAGTACCGGGTTCATTTTTACGATGAACTTCAAGAAACTTTCGCCTCAGCTTTTTTATAATTGAAAAGCGAAGATATCTACTGCTACACTATAGAGTATAGCACAAAAGTAAAGTAATTCATCTGTATCAACAAACTAATACACACCTACAGGAAAGATATTAGACGAAGAGGCAAAAGAGAATTTCATATCATGACTCGATTGGGGTCATTATAAGAAGACGGTGTCCAATCTCTTTGTGGCTTATCAAACTTGACATATTTACATTTATAATTTAGGCTTATATGAAAATGCATGTTCATCGGACGTTTCAATGAAAACTATTAGATGGCTGGTGAGAGAAGTTCCATTGATAATGAATTAACATGCAGTCGATAAAGCGACACCTATAATACGAAAAGGAGGTATTAACCTTTAGAAAGATTGTATTTCGGGAAGGTTGGACATGTTGAGAAATAGTTTCTGCATAAGTTTGGTGACTCCATCTATCAGCGTTTAGGAGATGTCTCTCGAACATGGATCAAAACAGGGCATCTACCGTTCGACAGATTTCTCATCTCAGAAAACAGCTGGAGGGCTCGAGCAGGTTTTAAAATATAAAAAGTAGTTAGATTAACGGCGTGAAAGAGCCAGATTCTTGAATTTTTTCTTTGTTTTATTTGTCAAAAGATTCATCTCAAAAACTCGAAAAACGCGGAAAAGTTGATGTATAACTTTCAGCAATGTAAAAGAATGACGGCCTAAATCAAAAATCAGATCCTTTAAATTGTTCTCAGATATCTTAGCTTCAATTTAAGATCAACCCGAGCCCTCTAGCGCTTAATTTGAGAGGAAAATCGTTCCGACAGTGTTTATCACGAAGCAAAAAGTCGCTTTTGAGATATAGTGGACAAGTGCATGAAATATTTTAGGACTCTTAGTAAAACTGTCATTCCTTTTGATCAAAGCGTCGCTCGGTGTTGGAAAACGTCTTATTTTAAAACTTAAACAGGTCACATTTTGACTTAAGTTAGTCTACACGAGCCATACATATGGGAAAGATTTCAGCCTTTAATTTCAGAACGTCAATCAATAGAACTACACAAATTATACGAAAGGAGAAAAAATGAACACTTTGTAAATTTGGTATTTTTTTCGACTGGAACTTTTTTCTTCTGCTATTATTTCCGTAAAAAAGTGTAACAAAAGTGAGAACGCAGTTCTTTTTGTACTTTCGATTGTGCTCTTTTGGTCTGTAAAAAGAAAATTTTAGAACATATGGTGTACTGGAGCATCACTATACCCGAACTGTAAAAAAATTAATGAAAAATGTTTGATAACTGACAGAAAAATTATTATTTCTCCATAGGCTTCGATGTGCAAAATGTGAAGTGTAGCTAAAAGATAGACCGAAGTCAGGGCTACAAAATGGCTAACTCAATTTTTCTTACTTTCAAAACGTTAACACAGGAAATCGGTTTTGAGTTTACAAAGTTTTGATATTTTTTCTCCTTTCATATAATTTTTGTAGTTTTCTTGATTCAAGTCCTGAAATTAAAATTTAGGTATGGTTTTGCTGAAAAAATTTCATGATCCATCTTCTGGTAAAAAAAATTCCCAGAAGGTAGAGAAGAACAGATAACAAAAAACACTCATTATATCTAGACCACCCGATATTAGCTGCATCATCACCATCTTTAGGTAGAATTAAATCAACCTCATTATACAGCACGATATGTCCCTTAAGGAACGATAATCCTTTAAATATTTATACACGTGAATGTGCTTTCTTTTTCTTGTTGTTGTGTTGTTTGTCTTGTCCATGTTAAAAACAATTATCAAATTATTTATTAAAAAATTAGAATAGAATTATGCTTTTTATTTTTTATTCAGCCTAAAAATGGCTCTATTTTTATTACAAATATCTCTTGCAATATTTATTTTTTTCACTATTGAACAACGCTACCAATCCGAGCATGTGTTGTTTCTTTAACACGGCGGGACATATTTACGATAGATTTGGTGGCATCCTATCGATTTATGTGAAAAATAAAGCTGAAAATCTTTTTTCAAGCTTTTAAACTTGACTGGAACCTTGAAACATCGAAAAGGCATAAGTTTTGTTTCTAAAGTCGAAGTGTCGAAAAAAGGAGCCATTTTGTAGAGAATTTAATTTTCTATCGAATGGTGTAAATTTTAAATTTTTTATATTAGTTTCTAGATAAAAAATGTTGAGTTAAAGTTTTTAAAAATTTTTCCACTGATATTCCTATTTTTATTTGTTAAAGAGGTCAGATTCATAATCAGCGTGAAAAACTGCATCTAGCGATGTGCTCATATCGGTTCTCGGATAATAACAAATTTTTAAAAACTTAATCAGCTAAGTGTCGGGTTACGCGGACAAGTCGTCTAATTGTCGTCCTAAAAACTTGCTGAGTTTCGTTTATCATAGTTTTTTACTCAGAATAGCATCTTTGTTAGCCTACTTAAATTATACTCTTTTATTCAACAATTTCTATATCGGCGGATCTTGCAGACGAAAGCATACTGTTAGCCAACAGATATTTCAAAACATCTAATTAATTCTGATATGCTACCCTTCCTTTATGTGATCAAACTTGTATTGTAGACAGCTGGATACTTGGTCTTTAATGAGTTAATTAGCGAGAAAACCGCATTATATAAAACAATATTACATTATCCTAACATTTATTATGGTGATATATATAAAAATATTTTTCGGGATTTGAAACCGAATTTTTGTATTGTTGATGATCCAAATTTAGCGTGTAAATCATTACACCGTAGTCTTGATATTGCATACTTGCCGATCAATATTAGAAGTACAAAATAATTGAAAAATAATGATGTTGATCAGTTATTACTACACTTGCAAATCTTTCTAGATTATTCACTCAAACGAAAATATATGACTGGCGCTATTACTCAATACTCGACTCAACTAGTGTCGAGTAACTGAAATATCTAAAATGTTCCGAGGGTCCCTTCAAATCCTGTGAAGACTTCGAAAGAAACATCTCAAACATTGAATATCATAGTCCATGCCTATCTGTCGTTATTCTGAAACTTTCACATGGAACAAAGGAATGCAGTTCTGCAGTCCAGGCAGAAAGTAGAGTTGAGCGAAGCAAGCTCATAACATACTCAGTGGGATGCGATAGCATAGGTAACTTCAAGTAACGCAGAGTATCAAAAGTCGTATCCTTGCGGATTCAGTTTTAGGTGTACAGCATTCTAATATAAGTATGAGTCATAAAGTGTAAAGTGCAGTTCATAAAAAGAAGCATAAAAACAGTACTAGCATATTCTCGTCATCAGTGATGTGTTGGTGCCGGCAAGGCATGCGGGGAAGTGTCGAAACGTGGTAGACTCTGTGACATGAGCCATCGTGATGTGTCAATGTTCCGAATGTTCTCGATTGAATGAATCGCTTGCTCAATCGATTCAAGCGCCTT